TTATTGATATGTGGGGTTTAACGTCTCAAAACCGCCATATGATTATGCGAGACGCTGTAGTGGAGGGCTCCGAAAATTTCGACCACCCGGGCTTCTTTACCGTGCACCCAAATCTGAGCACACGGGCCTACAGCATTTCCGCCTCCATCGGAAATTCAGCCGCCGCAGCCGGGATTCGATCCCGCGACCCGTTGGTCTGCAGCCGAGTACCTTAGCCACTAGACCACCGCGGAGGGGGGGGGGGGCATCCATCGAATTCATGCGTGCATTTACACTCTCGGGAATTTAGAGAGAAAGTGGATAACTGCGGACATTTTAACCCCATAAGGTTCTTTAACAAGTTCCCATAAACCTATAAATTAGCTTCTTGCGTTCTAATGTGATGTGAAAAATCTCAATGCGCCAAAATTGTATTGTTGGCCTCAGTGTCGCTGGTTGCGAGCAACAAAGCAGCGTTGTCAGTGAACGAAAATTTGAAATGAATAAATATTAAAGTATGAGCAAATAAATGCAATAAAATTTGGTCCGAGCGAAAATGCAGGCCCTCGTGGTAAACAGCTGTTTTACCAGAGCCGCTTCATTGTTTGTAAATGTTTTAGAAAACAAACTATACGAATGTCAAGTAATGCGAAGAGTCTTTTAAAGGGGCATCAACATAAAATATGTTTTGTGTGACATTCATTCGCCGCAATATGTTTCTGGAGGTCAATGTGTCGCTGGAGGCGCATCACTTGCTGCAGCAAATCGCAGATGCTTGACTGCAGTCTGTTTAATACCGATCAGTATGTTTCGGTTCGCGAGAGCACCAAGAACTACAAGCCATCACGTGCACCTAGCGCTATATCCAGCGTGTGACACGGCGCACAACTGTGACGCACTTCCGCGATGCCTGCATCATCTGTGCGTAGTATTCGTCGTGCGACATTTGCCGTGCGATTGCCTTGCAGTCATCGTCGCCACCTGCATGGCAGCAAAGACCGGAGGCTTGAACCTGTTCGCAACGGGCATTAACTCGTGGGCAGCCGCCGAAGAGTAGACTGCTGGTGCAAGCGCAGCGACAACGCAATGGTGGCTATGACGTACAGGTTTTGTTGGGCATCTCGGAACTCCAACATATTGGTGGCGCTGTGGAATTCGGGGTCACCTTCAGGTCACCTTGTACGATCTCAATGGCACGAGGGGCTGCGCATATATAGCGTTGCACCCGGCGCTCGAACTTTATACTTCATACAAACTGCTTTTAAAGCTGTATCCGTTGTTCAGATTTGGCAAATAAATACGCATGTTCAGAAGAATCGATCCCGCGGGCTATCTCAGAAGCGAAGTTTTGTCTCGGTACCTATAGCATATAATGTGCGACAGAAGCGTTGAATCCTGTCGGCACCAAGACATGCGAATCGCAAAATGTCTGAGGACTTCAAATTCCCACCCAATACGAAGTGCTCACAGTTATACATTATCATCATCGGTTAACAAATTAAGTGAGCTGCTGCACAGGTTCGCGTGTTGACTTAAGAACGTAGTTGGTACTTTGTCAATTCTCAAAACAAAGAATCAGAGCGTCTTTTGCAAGGGGACTTGCACAACAGGTTCTATGCAACAACTTTGAAGAACAAATGTTACTCGCACAAAACTTTCTGTACTTGTGGCAAGATTAAAGCGACCCCTGAAAAGCGAAGCGAGGCTGCCGATTCCGAAGGCTAGGACACCAAGGCAAGGTGAAGTTCAGGCCTCCAACTTTTGTGGGGGGTGTATGAATATATTTTCGCCTCTTTCGAAAATGCGACTAACGGAGATTCAACACTTGTCTTTCGGTTCAGGGTTGAAGAGGTCAAGCACAGTAGCCACCGCGGTGCCCCTGAAGCTACTGGGAAGCACAGTAGATGTCATCATGGAAGCAGAATATTTCGGCACCAAATAAAATGCTCTAGGGCTTCATTGAAGACCGCATTTAAACTGAAACCTTTGTATTCGCTAATTACCTTTTATTTTTTAAATATCCGGTTTTTCTGTCAAACGTAATGCTATGTTAGTTATAATCTCGTATCTGCGAGTGGATTTTGATCGGCCCTTTATTTGAGCAAAAATTGTACCATCTCCTCGAAGGAATCCATGATTGGGTGAGAAGCAGCAGCGGTGCGCAAGCATGTATACGTAAGCGCGTTACACACATGAATAAAAGAGCTGCGTCGCATGATCTAATGGGAAGCCAGTACATTAGCCCAGAAAGCCAGACGAGACCTACAATTCTCGAACGAAACATAACTGAGGGACCACCTGTGAAACCCTGCACTGTGTGTGTGACGTGCAATATCCATCTCCTCCCTTTTTATCTTACCCCCTTATTCCTTTCTCTCCACGTGCTGTGCAGGGTAGCCAACTGTACGTAGTTTAGTGAACCTCCCTACCTGTCCTATATATTTTTTCTCCTTCGTAACAGTACGCGAGCGACGTTATGCAGGCAGAGCTTACACATGCAAGTAATGAGCGGCGTTATAAGACGCGGCATGCAATCACTGCCTCGTCAGGGTCCACACTTCGGTGATTAGACAAGCTCCTGCTCCCAGCGGTTCGTGGAGAGAGGAAGAAAGTTGTGCAGTGTTACGCTGCGCTTGCAGAAAATGGTCCTGCCTCCATGGATTTGTAAGCTCTATCCGACCGAACCGAACGTCACGAACTCGGAGCTCACGATCTCTTTGGATAAGGGGATTTGAGGATTGTTTTTATTGCGACAGCAGTTATATGGACAGTCTCTGCTGGTTTCGGCTGTTGCCGCCGCCATCGTTTGCGTATAAGTATATACTGCAAGCCTTATTTCGTACAATAACGCCGTCACTACGTACGAGCCTTGTGGCGGTGATCTGTGGCCGCGCAGCAGGATACTTACTTAGCAAGCACATGTTGACTACAATTATTGCTCCTAAAAATGCTAGTCATTGCTTCGTAAGACATTCGAATATCTTGCTATCGCATTCATTGGTTCGTCCCTTTCGGTGAAACCGACTTCGAATAATCCTTATTGCTTTGAATAATAATAATATTACGGGTTTCACGTCCCAAAACCACGATGCGATTCTGAGTGAGGCCGTAGTGAAGGGCTCCGGAAATTTTGACCATCTGGTGTTCTTTAACGAGCACTGACGTCACATCGTCAATAGACTATCATTACTCCTCCTTCGAAATGTGACCAGGGCGGCCGGTATCGAGCCTGCGGGTCATCAGCCGAGTGGCGCAACCGCTACGAAACCACTGCGGACTTCCCGCTTTGAATGTTCGTGCAATTGTCTTTTGTGTTGCATTACTTGTACAGCGTTCACTTGATTAAATTATGCAATGTTCCAAACGTCTGCGCTGCCCCCGTGCTTTCACACGGCCTGCATACCATCGTGCGACAATTTCACTTTATTGTTCATCATCAGACTGTACGAATACCCTACGATGAAAATCAGGGGCGAAAATAATCAGCCGAAAACGAAAACGTGCATCTCAACAGTGGCCGTTTTTAGCTGTGTCTTAGTCGTCAACCGAGTTGTGCTAACGCATGTAGTCGTGCTGTTGCATGCAAGCGATATGTGCTTATTGGACAACATCCGCATGTTTGCCCTATATCATGCCGAGAGGTGAAAATCAGCGCGCGACATTCTTATGAACGAATTGTGGTCCGAGGCTATTTTACTTTACGGGCATGTTGCTGTACTCGCGGTTTATTTAATGCCTTAGTTCTACGTTGAAGTGGCTGTGAAGTGGAATAGGGCACAGTTGATTTGCAAAAGTGCCGTTATTTTTTCAGTTCATTATTATCGTTTTCTGAACTCCCACTCGTGCTTCCCTATACCATCCATGAGAACAGAAAATTAGGCATAATGTCTGAACTAGGCCCTTGGATATTTGCCTATTCACTGAAAACATCGTTGTGCTATAGCTCGTATTGTCAAAAGTAGGCCGTCCCAGTAGCTATATTAAGAACGTGAGACATTGCTTGTTACAAGTAACCATGTGGTAGAATGCTACGAATATGGTACAGCGATTATCAATTCTTTCTGTAGTTAAAGCAAGCATATTGCAAGCTGTATTCATGAATAAACGTTGGGTGGAACTGAAACAAGAGCTCATCGCGGGGACTAATGATATCTTACTTTATCATCTGACGGAGCTTCAGGCATTCGGGCAGGGCGATTGTAATCTTTGACCCTACTGCATTGACATCCTTGTTTCTACGGGGTGTAGTTAAGGTAGCCTGCATGCCTTATGATATTTTTTACATATAGAGCTTACATATAGAGACTCCGCATGATACAATTAACCACTACTGTAACAGCTCTGGATATAAGACTTTTTTACTTTTATAAGAATAGCATAAACATGTCCTTTTTATTGACTGTGGACTAATGACTACTTGCACACACTTCAAATACGAGCGTTTCTGGAAGCTGCACGTGCAGTCCTTACGGCCCTTACTAAGTGAATATTTCCGAGAATGAGGGATTGAGATGTCCCTTGTTTTCTCCCCACAGCACGACCATGGATATTCTCATTGCATCAATGCAATCTTGTATGTTTTTGTCGTAGGAAGTCAACTGTGGTCTCAAGTAGTGAGCAGTAAAATGACGTCAAGCTGCCAAATACATTTGAACTAATGAAATATCCAGCGTCACTTTTCTGGAAATTGGAACCCATGAATGCCGTCATATTATAAGAACGTACCCTGAAATGAAAAAAAAAACTGCTTTCTCAGAAAGCTTTTCTTTTTACAGTCATAAGTTCAGTGAACTTAGGATGATATTTAATTGTTAATGGCTAGAAAGCCAGATGTGGTCAAAGAGCACCGACTGATCATGTGATGTTAACTCGTCACGGCGATATGATGCAATATGGCCGTGATGTGGCCTACAGTCAATTGTTAAACGGCAGCATAAACAATAACATAAACAAGTTTCTAGACTTCAGATGTCAAAGGCATTTTCTCCCTACAGTTAACCGATGCCAGCGGCCGCTCTTACCGTGTCTTTCCGGCCACTGCAGCAAACGCTCGCGCAGCTCCTGGATGTTCTCCGGGGTAACCTTGTCCCAGTAAAGTCGGTCACCGAAGTCGTCGTGGTCCATCATGTAAGGCATGGTTGCGTTGGCACTGTTGGAAAAGCACACTTGTAATGAGTATTCAACCACGCGGTGCCTTCCTTTCTGTCCTAGTGTGTCGGTATGTTTACAACGAGCCTCTAAATACGACAACACGGCCACATTCTGACGTGGAGAAAAGCCGAGTCGCACGTGTTCCTTCTCGAAGGTGACTGCGTGCGCCAGCTCGTCTCGCCCATACATACGGCCCTCTCAGCGTCGTTCAATGCCTACGCCATCGACTCTCGCACCCTTAAGCGACGACCTCGAAGGTCTGTCTGATTGGCATAGGTAAACTCCTCGTGCGTTCCGAGAGCTTCCACTTTCCTGCTACACCCGGAAAGGCAGCGAATGCGGCCCGTATGTCACGGCTATAGCTATGCCAAACCGCGATTGTTAAGGGGGGTGCAACATACTGTTACTAACGCGGATGGTACCGATGGAGAGCAGGTTGGTGTACAAGATTACGTTGGTTCACGGTCAGTCAACTTAGGGTAAATGTGGGCCACTTTGAGCGTAACGAGAAAGAAACGCATTCGCCGGGCCTGCGGTAAAACGATGAGGAACCTATAGTAGCGTTTTCGTACTTGTGGTTGCGTAGCGCTAAGGTTTCCAATTGGTTTTTCATTGCAACTCATCCGAACGTGTTCGAACAAAAGAAACACCGAAGCTTTGAGAGAAAAGGAAGACGAAGAAAGAAAAGGTACCAGGGAGTAAGGTTAAAGTATGTGCTGAAGAACAAAGCAATGGGTTGGGACAGGGGAGTGGCACATCGGTAATATTAGGTAACAAGTGAAGAATAGCGCCAACCCAACAGCGATAGGCGCTGCCGGGAACCAAGTGACAATTAGGGTGCTGTGGTCTCGCTAAGCGTTCACAATTAACACCACCTTGCTGGCGCAGATGCATAATAATCGTTGGCTGCTTGCGATGATAAGGCTGATATTCCAGGCAGAGTGCGGCAGTAGGCTGCTGTAGCTTCGTGCTAAACATCACGTTTCAATTCACCTGCTTATGTGTTGATATGTGCGTCACTCGAAATCCCGATGGAGCAAGACAAGAAAAAAAAAACCGATCTTTACTGCGCATGAGCACTATAGCAGGCGGTGCGATATCAAGCTGTTATTGGTTTCAGGCGTGCGTATGGGTGAAGGAATCGAGAAAAGAAACTATAGCCTTGTACGTGTTCTTGATTGTGCACGTCATGTTGTCGTTAAACAGAGCAGAACTTCTAACGCGAGAGATTTGTTAACATAAAATAAAATATGCAAAATGGGCTACGGTCAACAAAACGACAGTTTAATGCCGTGTAATTCAGTTAGCTTGCCTCTTCTATTGTCTAAATCTAGAAAACGCACATGTATTTATTCTCAACACAGCAGGTTGCATTATGCGACTTAATCATCGTGCGTTTCGGGAAACGCGCACATAACAGGGAGCTTTAGAATAGCGCACCGCGAGCCCTTGCGGTGCTGTCGCTGCCACTGCGCATGCGTCGTAACGAGAGTTGGCGTTCGCGGACCACACGCAAAAAAAAAAAAATCCGAAATTGCGTGCGGTGATGGCGGCCCGCAAGCGCTGGTTTCGAGGCTACGGTGTCGCATAAATCGTGCGTTGCGGATCGCAGCAGGGCAAACGCTATTCGAAAACTCATAAGGCGCCCGCAACGCCCACAGCGCTTGCAAACGGTATATTCTAAAACTCCCTAATTTCAAAAAGTGTACAATCCACGCGCGCCGATGTAGCCGTGACACCCCCCCCCCCCCACTCGGTCAGATTGACGACGTGACAGCGCGGCTGCCACAGACCTAGGCTAAAATAGGACTCGAACCAATTCTTGAAATGGCAAAAAAAAAAAAAAAACTTCACGTGTGCGAGCAAGACCGCTTCCGCACAGCAGCTCGACAGCAGCAAATATCGAGCAACCATGTCTAGCTTGAACTGCGATACTGATAAACTCTTATGCGTATATGCGCGCGCGCACACAAACAATAAACGTATATATAAATAAACGGCATGGAGCTTGAGACTGCTTCCTGCACCATGCCAATCTTCCTGCACCATGCCAATCATTGCGTTGAGGTACTCAACGCAATGTAAGTATTCAGCAAGGGAATTTGAGCGCGCGTAAGAGTACGCAGATCTGAGACCATGAAAGATGTTAGAAAACGCCCTTTCAATTTTGTTTCAATTTTCCAGGATTGCATTTTAGAAATATCTAGTGGTCGAGAAATATACAAGACGCATTGAATGCTAGGAGGGCGTTCACCGGGCCGGGAAAGATGTCACGTGATTTTGTTACCGCGTGTTGCAACTGCAGCAGCAAGAAACGCATCTGAGACCGACTCTGCCTTTGATTTATTAAAGCTACGAGGCAAACATCGACTTCTAAGCAGTTGCGCCGCGAGGACGGGGCCTCAGTGTCAAGAGAGGGTGCTTGCGAAAGTGACAACTTCACATTGCGCCCGTCAACTCAGCTTACTGCGCACCACTGCGAAACGTAGCTGTTCGTAAAAGGAGGTTTTCGACCAAGCCCCAGAGTGGGTTAGGGGCCCCTTTAGGCAAAGGAGCAATTCGCAGTCGCCGTGGTTGCACAGGCGCCGAGTCAAACCAAACATATCACGCTTGGTGACAGGTGTCGTTGGGGCCGGCAAAATTGCAGTGGCAGACCCCGAAGTTTCAGTTCATCATACTTCACATTGATAAGTGCTCTCAAATTTTAAAAATAAGGTAGTCCATATTTACAACCACCGGAAGGTTATACGAGTCGACCGGATGCCGGCAATTCGTTCTTAGAGGAGGGTTGCAAGTAACGAAGTTAAGTCAGGTTCACGTCGCGAAGAAAACGTATGTTCGATGTTTTTTCACGCCACTGCCAGCGGCTACGTCGGCAAATGCTTAAAGGCCGGGTCGACTCTACCAGCTTGCCTTTGAGGTCCTTGACTGTCCTTGACAATGGTGATCAGTGTGGCTAAATGTCGGAGAGCTAAAATAGCTAAATGGCAGCTTAAAAGCTAAAGATACAGCAGGGCGCTAATAAGTCGCTGGTTTCTGGTGTATTATGCCAGCTGCCGGCAACACACGTGCAGCCCCTACTTTGCCGGCACATGTACCACAGGCATGACAGAGGGGCGTAGCCAGGGGGTGACACACCAGGCCCGTGCCCCCTGCCCCCGAACTTCTTTGTCACCATGGCATCGAGAGCGGAAAATGAGCGTTATAAGGGGGTGCCCTCCACGAAATAATGAAGGTGCCACATCTCTCGTGTTCAGCATAAAGCACAAAATACTGCTTACCTTTTTTTTTTCTTACCAAATAACTTGTGAGCGTTGATCGGTTCCTTGCAGTGCACTGTGGCAAATGTTTTTTTCTGAAAAAGCAACCGCTTTCTGCACAGGCACTCAGAATCTGCCTTAGGTGTGAGCCTGCTCCTGCGTCCCAAATGGACTTATGCAGCGGGAGGTCTGGTCGCCGTCGTATATGCGGGACAGTCATGTGGCCTTATTAGAAACGTCACAAAAGACGTCACTATAAGAGGCTCCGGGCATGGCAGTACAGTGGTGACAGCAAAATAGTGATAACCATGAAGCGACACGTGGTGGTTCACTGTAGCCGTATTCTGAAACGATCGCAAAGGGTGACAACCGCCAAACCGTCGCATTTGGTGTGCGCTGATTAGCTATTGAGAAACTTTGGAAAAGTGATGGCGCCATCTACGGCGCTTTTGTCAACGTCACATTGCTCTACGGCGCCCCTGACATGCCTGTAATAAACGAACAGTTGGAGGTGAGGTCTAGTACAGATGGAATCTTCTGGTTCTGAACCTTTGGTGGATGCATGCAACACTTTTTTTTCTTTACGTTGAAGCTTGTGGTGAGTATTATCTTGGTGTGTTTTAAGTAATAATTGTATTGAGTGCGCATGGTTTCCTTTTTTTCTTTTTTAGTTTCAAGGAACCAGCAGCGTGAGCCGTGTTTCTCGCATGGTTAACGAAGGCCCGTGTGCTCAGATTTGGGTGCACGTTAAAGAACCCCAGGTGGACTAAATTTCCGGAGCCCTCCACTACGGCGTCTCTCATAATCATATGTTGGTTTTGGGACGTTAAACCCCACAAATCGAATCGCATGGTTAACGATAAACCATGAGTTGCTCGCGAAGACATGTTGGGACGATTGCACAGTGGTGGCACCCCACAGCTAGATTCTCTGAGTATACGTTCTGTTTAACTCTCAAGAAAAATACATTTAACGCAAGGTTGGATTCTTTACTTTGTTGTGTTTCAAGTTATCGCACAAGAAACGATAAAATCGCTTTAAACACTTCTTAAGTAGCTGTAGCCAAACCTATGCACACTACGTAGAAGCCGGTACACTCAACAACGCGACATTCGGGTGTTTCGGCGTTGATACAGAGCGCTCATTCTTGTGTTGGGAGACTTTAGATGCTTCAGATATCACCAACGGCCAATGACATGAGAAGCGGTTGATTCACTTAATGAAATATTCAGACTATACATCGCGCAATTCGACAGTCACCTTTCGCGATCGTTTTAGAATACGGCCCGTGAGTTACAGAGAGCAACAAATGACGCTGACAGAAAAAGCAATACTTAATCAACGCCAGGCCGAACGCTCCATTTCATTCAAATTTCATGGCGGTGGTATGACGTCAGACGCGACATCGCTCGGGTCACGCAATGATGACCGGAAATTCTGATAGTGCCTTCTTTAGGATTCGGAAACAATCTGTGAGCAGTGGTTTTATCGGTCAGAGGCGTCAGCTGATTTGGTGAGCTTGGGATCAAAGTAATTGATGTCAAGCTCAATTATTGTGCACTTTCTTCAGTAGCATTCGTTCACCTTCGCCCCAGTGTGTCGGGACTTATACACGTTTCTACCCCACCTCCGAGCTTTTGCGACTATGTCAGCTACTCTTCCAGGCCCAGATAAAAGAAAAATTACCGGCGATTAAAATGCCCCCTAATGCGACGCACGAATAGAACTGTACGTGTGTTTTTATTTGGAGATATATTGAGTAAAATAATTTCGAGTGCATGTATGCGCGCATAATCAATTCAATTTAATTATTGTGTGGTTTTACCGTCCCAAAACCACGAAATGAATATGAGAGATGCCGTAGTGGAAGACTTCGAAAATCTGAACCACCTAAGTTTCTTTAACGCGCTCTACGTACGTACTTTAAGCATTATCGCCTTCATCGAAAATGCGGCCGGGACTCGATCCTGCGA